GGAAATGATAGTGGCATGTTCTCAGTAGAATGTCTAACATTTCTCCAGTGGCTCACAAAGAGCCAGATGTTACTGATCTTTGAGGCACAACAAAAGGTGTCTTGTCAAGCTTTGGGTCTGCCCCCTCAGTTATTTTGGGGTAAGGATATGAACATTTATTTAGAGAACATTTTTAGAGTGGTGTGAGTTTTAGTATGTTAATCAAATAAAGGATGGCTAAGGCCATTAGCACAATTTTTATGGTATCCTCTTGTAACTCTGTCTTCAAATTACTTGACCCACACAATGGGGTCAGCAATATTTAGGAATAGAACCATGGAGGCTTAAGTCTTAGACTTATGCTAAAAGCTTAGCACTTACCTAGGATTTTTCAGCACTTTACAAAAATGCTTGCTCATTATTAGCCCCACTTTGTATGGAGGCAGATGAAAGAGATGGACTGTTTGGAATGTACTCAGAATGAAGATGGGAATGAAAGTGTAGACTTCTTAGGGCTGTCTACATGGGGAAACTCTGAAGTTAAATCAAATTAATGAAAAGATGTGAATTACAACTTGATAGTTAACCTGCATTAAACTCCTATGTGGATACACTCATTTGGCACTGAAGTGGTCTGTTTGATTTAGTTTTGTTAATTAAGGCATACTAAATTAAGGCCACTTCCGTTCAGAATGAGAATTTCCACACAGGACTTTTAACACAGTTTAATTAAGCCAGTTGTAATTCACATCATTTAGTTTATTTGGATTAACTTTAGAGAATATTATTGTGTAAACAAGAAACAATGGGGTTTAAATTGCAGCAAGGGAGGTTTAGGTTGCACATTAGGAAAAACTTCCTAACTGTCAGGGTAGTTAAACACTGGAATAAGTTGCCTTGGGAGATTGTGGAATCTCCATTGTTGGAGATATTTAAGAGCAGATTAGATAAACATCTATCAGGGATGGTCTAGATGGTGCTTGGTGCTGTCATGGGGGCAGGAGACTGGACTTGATGACCTCTTGATGTTCTTTCCAGTTCTAATATTCTATGACAAAGTGCACGTATAAGGAACTTTTTGAAAATTTGCATATTTTTGGAATCAAGAATCTATTCCCACTGTTGTGTGGGTATCTTTTGCTTCTGAGCTAAAGAGCTCATGATTTCTCTTACTTTATTGTTAGCTACTACTTCTCTTCATCATCTCTTTCTTCTCCCTATAGAGCAACTTTAGCCTCTTTGAACTCCAGGGAAATGATTGTCATCTGAGCGCTTGTCAGATGACCTAGGAAACTATGGTGCTGTAATACCAGTGACAACTGTGAACTATTCAACTGTAAGCAGTTGAGCAAGTGGGTAATAATGGAGCAAGAAGCCACCACAGTAGCATGAGAGGAAATGGGTCACTTTTAAAAATTTGAATATAAAATAGGAAGAAAAATATCTTTTTAATTTCTGAAAATCTGGAAGGGATTTCAAGCCTCTCTTGAGCAAAAAGGCTTCAGTAACTGCAGAAATTACTTTCATCCATTGAATTTCTTTGTCTTATGAAAGGAGCTAGCCAGGCCCCAAAGATGGAAGCTGTGAGCAATTTTCTCAAGTTGTATATTTTAATATTTCTGGTGTGTCTAAACATGAGGAAGTGGTAAAACTTGTCTCAGTAAATAAAGATATCAGTGTTGAAAGGGGACAGGTAAGGTATGTGGCTGATAGAGAATTACATTTTAATGTCCCCAAAGAGAAGAACATCTGTAAAATTGAGGTGGTTTTAAATGAACCACTCACACAAAGAGCTAGGAAACATTATACCTCAATTTCCTTCTAATGGGAATCCAAATTTATCATAATGCTGTGGACTTCTGACCAGTTGCTTCTGTTCATTTGAAATGTAGATCAGCTTGGCCAAAGCCCATTAGCAATTAACTTAAGGAGGTTCTTCTGCTGAGAAGGCTCATCTTCTGTGGATGGAACTGAAGTAAACAGAGAGAACAGCCTAGACTGCTACATTAATCAGCATTCCCCTATTTCAAACATGTCAGATTATTCTGATAATAGTGATATTGTGATTTGTTGATGCTTTACTCTTTTTTTTACTGTGCCATCTGTTTAGTAAAGCTCTTTCACAATAGCCATCTTCACTGATCTAATGTTCACTGCATAATTTCCACACCTGCTATACACCAATCCTGTGGTCTCATCTTTTTTCTCTTTAACTAGCCCTGCACCCCATACAGGGATGGGGAAGTATTGAGATATTGGATCTCCCCAAGTGTTGCTCAGATGATGAGACAATGAAGTTAACTAGACCTTTCTGGTTTCCAAGAAATTTCCAGCAATATATTTACATTTTTCTGACTTACAACTCTTTCTTAAAGACCATGCACAGTGTTGGATTATTTGAATGTTTCTTTTATATACACTTTTCATTTTAAAGTGCTTGGAAACTGAAGATAGAAACAAGATCTTGTTTCTGTAAATGGTGTTGGTGTCATGCTAGAGGTTTGCATACATCTTAAGACAATGCTAAAGCAACAAATAGCATGTCACAGAGCAGCATTGAAAGGGCAGAAAAACATTTCCGTTAAAAGCATTTGTGGAAAATCATGCCAGTCTAGACGCAGCCTAGAAGTTCTTGAGACTCTTGGTATAACTAAGCAAGAGGACAGACCTATCCCGACCTTCAAGTCCTATGCTGATAAACTAAGTACTGTTAGGATCATGTCTTCTGAGATCTCACTTCCTACTTTTGCCCAGATTGCAGAGGATGCTAAAATCTGTGTAAGTGGAAATGTACCCTAGGTTCTGAAAAACACAGAAGAAAGGGAAGGTGATGAATTTTAAAACACTCTATATTTACAGTCCTTTTTTAGGGGATGGGGGAGCTTCTTTTTATTTAACATATTGTTTAAAATGAATTCGCTGTATGAAGAGAGAGTTATACTGTGGGGTGCTTTTCCAGCTTGGTTCTGTATCTTCCAGATTTCCTCATGCAAAAACAGTAATTCTGTGGAGCAGAGTTAATGTGGATGGGGCTTTGGACCATAGAACAAGTGCAGAGTTCTCCAGAGACAGGGGAATCTTGCCAGCATCTCAAGTAGTTTTATTGATATAAGAAATTGTTTATGAACAAAATATTTTTGAAGAATCATTCAGTTCTGAACACAGACAAAAAATGTAGGCAAACAGCGTGCGGCCTCTTGTAGAAAACTAACAAAGAAAATAAATAAGAGTAACACACTTGATCTTCTTGAATTTTGAAGCTGGTGAAGGGTTAACACTTCCTATAAAAATGTATAACTGTAGAACTAAAGAGTAGAAAGAACAGGATCAGAAAGACCCAGAACAAATCTTCTCACTGGTGTGAATAATTTCATTTTGAAATTCTGTAGGATGCAGTATTTGTTTGTCTGACTTGGACTATTATGTAAAGACTAGCCAATTAACCCACCGTAAGATGGGATTTTCAGGTCTCTCCTCCACGTCGGTCTTCTCTCCTGAGCCTCCGGTCTCTCACTCTCTCTCTTTCTTCCTCCTCCTACTGCCTTCCCCTCTCTCTCAGCTCTTCTCCACCTTCTGCCTCTCTCTCTCTTTATCTTCTCCCCCTCCTGCCTCTCACTCTGTGTTTTTCTTCTCCTCCTCCTGCTGCGTGTCTCTCTCTCGTTCGCTGTCCTCTGCCTCCTCCATTCTCCTCTCTGTCTCCTCCACGTCCTCTGTGTCTGCTCTGCTTTCTTCCTTTTGAATCCGGCGCCCTTTCCTGACATCAGAGACGCACTCTCGTACAGGCCCCGCCCCCTGGCTGTTCCCTCTGTGCAGTACTGTTGCCTCCTGCCGTGGTGCTCAGCTGACTTCTGCACTGCTCATCCGGGCCGCTGCGCAGGAGCAAGAGGATGCTGCATGGGGAGCGCGGGGCCCAAACGGCCACTTGCTCCCATGCGGCGGCCTCGCTGAGTGGCGCAGAAGTCAGCCAAGCACCATGGCGGGAGGCAACAGCGTTGCCCAGAGGGAACAGCCAGTGTTTCAGCATTACAGAGTCACAGACATTGGGCTACTATATATGATTAGGGCTAATGGAAAATTTTCTATCAAAACTCTTGACTAGCGATTCCCAGGATGGAGTCATAGAGGGACATAGTGGTTCATCATGGGAGCTGGAGGAGAAGAGAATGGGAGCAGGAGACACCCAAACAAACATTTCCATAGGCTCTGCAAGTGGCATTTCCAAATTGAAATGTTGAGTGTTTTTTATTTTCTACTAAAAATTGAAATTTTATATAAGGGGAAATTTCTTATATTTCAATAAACTTTAAAAACTGTATTAAAGTAGCACCTCAATCACCTCCTCAGGTTCTGGATTCCATGTATTAGATACTGTACAAACATAAGTGCCAATCTAGAAACTCGTATAGACGTTCATTTATTACACATGAATGGTCCCATGGAAGCCCATGGGACTACTTATGAAAAGTTATTTACATGCCTATATCTGTACAGACTCTAGGCGTTTGTATCCAGAATGCCTACAGACAGTCTAAATTACAAGTTCATATAAATTATTGGCCAATCAAAAGATCTTGTTGCAATAATTACAATGAGATTTGTTTGAATTAAATGTACAACTTAATGCCTGTCATCTAGGATCAAAGGAAGTGCATACTCTAAAGATCAACTGTGAATATTTCCTGGAGATGCGAGTTAGATATTAACACCTCAGCTCCCTCCTCCCCATTCCCTGACACAGATTATGTCCCCATCCAGGTGCAGATCAGAGATAAAAAGAGTCAATTTCCATTACAGGTGAGAGCAAATAACAGATTTTGACAATCATTTGGAAAAATCAATAAGATGCAGCCATCTGTGTGTCTGTGCCATATTGAATTATTGATCTTAACTTGGGTGCATGTCTGGGCCTTTGGTAGAATGTCACCGGCTTCACCCTCCCTGGCATGATACACACTTTGAAGTGTCCTAATGGGTCTGTGTGATGTATATAAACTGGGGCAATTCTAATAATGGTTTGAGATGAATTATTTCACTAACTGGATCTTTGGGGAAAGGGTAAATGCTTTGGCTCAAATATTCACCGCTGCAAATTTTGAAAAAGCTGCTGGAGGAGAAGGTAAAAGTGGAGGAGGAGAAGGAGGAGTCACTCACCCAAAAGCCATATTATCTGGAGGAATGAGCACTGGGTAGGAGCACTGATAGGACTGGGCTGTAGGAACATATCTCCTATTGCTGGACTTGTGTGGCTAACAAATGGAGATTGTGTGGCCTGTTGTTCATAAGACCACCTTCCTTCTCCCTCTCAAATTGCCTTCCACCCTCAAGTAAGCAATGGACTATAGGTGAAATCCATATCCCATTGAATTCAACGGCAAAAATGTCACTGTTTTCAACAGGGCCAGGATTTCACATGCTCTTCTGAAATGAACAATCTTGCCAGTGTGCACTCTGAGAAGTCCCCTTTAGAAGAAGATAATTGTGAAGGTGGAAGTTGACCAGACTGAAGCAGTACTTTGATTCCTCTAGCTTCCTTGAATCCTATGATGCAAACCCGCACTTACTTACTTTGCTGATCACAGGAAGAGATCAGATGTTCATTAGTGTTATTTAGTAGTAGGCTCCAGCGCAATAGGCCAAGGTAGGGTAAGGTAGAGGGAAGGCCCTACTCAGCACTCCCAGAAGGGTCAGGGCTGCGGGTGGAAGGGTCGAGGCTAGGGGTAGACAGCCCCCAGTGCTGTATAGAGTGCACCGCACCCCTCCCAGATCCCCACTAGCTCTCAGAGATGCCTGGAGTGCACCTCACAGTATTCTGGCTGTGATTGAAAGGGCCCTGGGCTACTGAAGAAGCGGCAGTGGTGGCTGGAGGTCCTATACCCCTTTGGATCACTGGGCCCCAGGGCAACTGCCTCCTTTGCTCCCCTCCCCCTTGATGGGCCTGGCTTCAGCTGAGATCCAGAGTGCCATTCTGCCAGGCATGATACAAACCCATTGTAAGAGACAGTTCCCAAGCTGTTTAGAGTCTAAATTGGCCAGATAGACAAATGGGAGACAAGGAAACAACAGCAAAGGAAGGAGAAATGACTTGCTTGAGATCACACCATGGCTCAGAGACAGAACAGAGAGTACAATTCAACCTTCCAGACTCTCAACTGAATGCCCTATCCAGTGGACTACTGCTTTGCTAATTTTAGATCATCCAGCAGTCTTCAATATTTTGATAAGGCGATAAAGTTGACTCCTTTTTAGTGCATGACCAGGGTTCATTAGGCTGTGCATTGTTTCTGAAGTTCCTTTGCTCTTGAACTTGTTCTCACTGGCTGTTCGTCAGTGCCTGTGCCAATTTATTGTTATGGTGTTGTGTATTTCTGATTTCCTTTCCTTACTGTTCAGGCTTTTCAGTTATTGAGTGGTGTTAGTTGGAGAGTGTTTGGGACAATGTTGAAAGTGATTTCATGGTCAATTGTATATTAGTTGTTTAATTTTGTTTAACAGAGGCCATGTATTATGGGAAGAATATAAAAATGGCCATGCTGAATCAAACCAATGGTCCACGTAGCCCTTCCAACTGTTGCCGGGGCAGAGGGAATGAACAGAACAGGGTAACTACTGAGTGATCCATCCCCTGTCATTAAGCTTCTGAGAATTGGCAGGTTAAGGACATCTACAGCATGAAGTTGCATCCTTGATCATCTTGGCTAATAGCCACTGATGGACTCATTCACCATGAAGTTATCTAACTCTTGTGTACCTAGTTATAATTTTGGCTTACATAACTTCCCTTGGCAATGAGTTCCACAGGCTGACTATGCGTTTTGTGAAACAGTACTTTTTGTTTGTTTTAAATCTGGTGATGGGTCCCCCAAAATGACTTGCAATTTGTACATTTCTGGATATACATGTGTCATCGTGCAGAAGTGTTTGCAAGAGGATCAATGGAGTTTTCTTTGTTTGTCGAAAGAAAATATTTGGATTCCCAGGAGGATAAAGGGAGCCATTCCAAATACACAACCACGAACTGCTTTTATGTCCATGCTCATCTTGGAGAATGATATTTATTCTCTCCCCATTTACAGTGGCAGCTCTAGATGCTGAAGATGAAGACACTCCAGAAAACAAATTAGTGTTCAGCATTGCCAGATACCCACTAATGGGGTATATATTACACTTCTAGAGAACCATACTAAGACATCTTTTACTTGGCAGGACTTATACACCATGAAGATCACTTGTCAGCCACCCAATATCACTCATTCTAGAGACAGAACTGTGAGGTGAAGCATGGATCTAGACTGCTCTTAGTCAGAAGTACTGTACCTGCATGTACAGCAAGCTTGCCAGTTGCCAAATGCTGTATTAATCTTTCATGGAATGTTTGTTTTGCTAGGTTGAGTTTCAAGCAATTGATAATCCCTTCATGAGCAGTTCTCCTGTCATGGTGCATTTTTCAATAAGAAGTGCAAAGACTGATCCTAGGATTGCATGGAACATGGGTAAGTGGAATTTTATCCAGGGTTATTTCAATGTATGAATTCACAATGCTTTGGAGTATATTGTAAATAATCTGGGCTATAGATACATCTGTGTTGTAGAGATTAGCTATATGGTTTTGTAGATTATATGGAATAACTACTCTTAGCTTTTATAATTGCCTTCCTTTTTGTACTCTACTTTAAAATTGGGCTTCCTCTTTTTTTTTATATTTGTCATTTAAGACTCTTGTACAAATCTGGCAGGTTCTAGAAAAAACACAAAACCCAGAATCCCTTCTCTTCCATTAGTAAATCCAGAGTACTGTAATTCCATTGGTAGAGTTACACCAATGTAAACAATAGGAGAATCCGATTTGTTTTGTTGTTTTGTTTTGTTTTAGGAATAACTAAATCTTCAATCTCCTGATGGACAAAAACCAAATGATAAGCGCACAATTACTCACAAGTTTCATGTAAAATAGGTTGCTGTTGGAATTTACTGTACATAGATATTCCTCATTCCAGTTTGCATTTGCAACATGTGAAGTTGACTTTGTCATTTAAATTAATTAATAATATGTCCTTACAGTCACCTACCAACCAGAGACTGGAAATCCCACATGTATGGGAAGAACTGAGCTTTTGTTTTTTACAGGAACACTGCTGCTTAGTGAGTTTCACCCTGCAGAGAAACAATTCTCCTCCAGGCCAAATCGAATTTTAAGGCTTCGGGGCTGCAGTATAACAATGCACTAATATCTGACATGCTTTTGGACTGTGTAATCACATAGATTGCCTAGTTCAGTATAATGAAATTTTGCAATTTTTTTATTTGGGTAATTAACACCGTTTTAGTGAACCCTGCACTGACGAAGTTTCCAACAGAAACATGTACATTAATAAAAGCTCTCCTCCCATTAGGCTTAGCAAAAGCTGTTGAGCCTAAAGAAAATGCAAAAAAGGCGCAATACAAATACATGAATGTTAACACAAGTAAGGCATGCTATAAAGAACGCTTTACGAAAAGCAAGCTAGGAATCTTACCAGGACAGGCTTCCTTGTAAAGGTTTCCTTTATTTCCTTTATTTCTTATTGAAAACACTTCAAAAACAGCCTTTCCAGCACTACTTCCTGATTTTTCTATCCCGTTTGGGGCAGGATAAGGAAATTCAGGAGTACTGTACATTAATTTGAGAAATGTATTGAAACTTGCAAATTCCAGAAGTTTGATTAGATGAGCAAAGATCTGAGCTAACCATGTTTCTTCTGTACTGATGTTCCTGTTACTAGGGTCAAATCTTGCTCTCTCCTTTTCTGCCAGGGAGGATTTAATGCAGCACGTTGTGTGTAATTCTGATGTGCTGCTGACAGATTGGATAAAATGGGAGTTTATGCCAGGGGTTTGCATGCCCTGCACACTGCAGATGCTGACTTTGGAGAAGTTCCTTCTGTGTCCTTGTGCAGTGTAGGGCTCTTAGTGTGTAAATCAAATCTGAGCAGTTACACAACTCTTCGATAGTCCCTTGGGGCAGGGCCAGAAGCCCGTGCACTCCTGGCTCCACTCCCAGGAAGCCCCCTGTTTCTCCCTCCCTCCCTCCTCCGCTGCTGCCTCTGATATCTGAAGTAGCAGCAGGGAGGGAGCAGGCAGCACTGCAGAGCCCAGCACTGGCTCCTGCCTGTCCCCCTTGCTGCTTCTGTAGGATATCTGTAGGAGGCAGCAAAGGGGAGTGCAGGAGGGTCCATGGAGCTGGCATGCACAGAGAGCTGGCTTAAAAGCTGGCTTCCCGCGCATGTTGGCTCCCTCCTGCCCCCCTCACCCTCCATGCTGCTGCCTCTCTATCAGAGGCAGCAGCACAGGTGTGGAAGTGGGGCAGGCAGATCTGGTGCTCGTGGGGGACACGGGGAATGTGTGAAGTCAACAGGAGTAACCAATATGCCCAGGCTTATTGGTTAATTGTGTAGTCATCTACATGTTGACATCCCTAGTGAGGTGGGGTGTTGGGGAAGTGGACTCACCATCTGCTCACGCTCAGCATGAGACATAGGGTGATTGCTGCAGTCTCAGAAGATCTGATTTGCAACTTGGGGAAAGCTTCTCTTTACAGTCCCCTAGATTCTCTCTTCATCAACCCGAGCTGTTATGTTGGATCCAAGAGGGAGGATTTAGCCTGTAGCTGTGTTCCTTCTACATTATGCACCTGTGTGGCTGCTTGGGAGAGGTTCTTTGTTCCTGCTGGTGGTGCATGCTTTGGCGCACACACAAAGTTTATTCTGCACATCTATGGAAAATATCCACACATGGATGGAAAATATTAGAGGGAACATTGGCCCTTAGTAATTTTGCTGTACCATCTGCAGAATAATAATTTTAAAATAAGGATTTGGAAGTCTGTTAATCTAATCCTTAACTGTTGTGCTTCTATGTGTACATTATAGGGCTTGACCTATTGGAAGGACAGTCACATCCAATTACCTTGGATACCTCTAAGACTCTGGACAATGATAACCTCGATGCTGTTTTAGTTGCTGGTGGTGGGAAGACCACCATATGGAGGAATCGCAGTTGAAGGTACATTGTATCACAGATGGGCATGGAAGAGTGTGATCTGTCCTGTTGAACTGACTATTCAATTTTGAACAGGTTGCTTAACTTTGATGTTCACGGTGAGCTTCTTAGAACAAAGTACCAAGACTCCTACACCCAGCCACTTCTTTGGGCCAGGTTTAATATTTTGTTTCTTTTTTTCAGATGTTCTGGATAAAATAGCTAAAGTTCCCTGACGCTAAAAGAATCTGTAAAATTTGTATTTACTGTTTGATTCACCTGTCCCTCCAGCTCTCTGAAATACTTAACGTGGCCTTATTTTAGAGATGCATTGGCAACTACTGATCTGAATATCCATGAACTTTGAAGAAGTTCAGATTTGCATCTAATTCAGACTTTGTAACACTGATTCCCTAATAATTTCACTGTGAAGAATTTTTTAGGAGTGCATATGTAGCCTCTCCTGAAGCCTCAGTTACTTTGCTTCCAGACATCCATGCATTAAATTCATAGAACCTTAGCAAATATACGCCCACAGTGCTTTGTAGACACAAATGTCTCTTGAGTAGAGCTGATTAAAACATGGAATTTCTATCCAGAGGAAGTTCCTGGGACTACAGACAGCTTGTCAAAAAAATGGATATCACAAAGAATCACCTCCAATCTACTGACACCGAGTTCCCAGATAATGAGTTTATGAACATGATTTCTAAATCATGTTTCTTTTCCTCTTCTCCTGGGTATGTATGAAACTGTCAGGCTAAATTAAACTTTATAAGTTAATTGAAAAAGATCTAATATTCCACTCCTTACAGATTTTATGATGTGGGGAAGCTAATTTTCACAGCATGAAAAGCTTTAAAAAACATCTTGCTATTCCTATGCTGACATCTTTCACTCAGGTAAACAATTGGGATTTTTATATTGCTAGCAATTACATGGTGCTGTTGAGTAGGATTTAATTTGTGACTAGTCATGATGCTGTCCAACTGCAGCAGGATGGATTTCACCTGTAATGAATGGTGCACTAGTTTCTACTAATTATAAAATTTTGTAGCTTGTGATTTCTTTGTAGACCATAGTTGCAGTGCTTGCTGTACTAGGAATTATTGGGGTAAATTCACTGCAAATGGTAATTGTGTAATATTTTTGAAAAGCACTCATTTTATCAAGTCAGATCTTTCAATTAAATTGGGCAATACAAGAAGGTTTTCAAAGGCACATATGGAAAGATAAGCACCCAGCTTACAGTGGCATTTGAGCACTTAATTCTTTTGTGATTATGAAAATCTCTCCCTTAATATTGTGATTGTTTCTAACATCACACAGTGGGCCAAATTTACTGGTTTCAATGGAGTCACACGAAAGATCAGTTTGGCCCAACCTGGCTGCAATAAGTCCCCAAAAGCCTGAGCGGTTTGCTTTTTGATAACATTTCAAAATATTCAAATGCTGTGCTGTATATGTACATCAAGAGGGTGCTGCTGAAAGAAATGCTTGGTTGCATTCATTTTGATTACCATAAGAGAGGGTGATTTATGATGAATATGCCAAGTGTGTCAGGCTGCAGTGGTTTTCACCAATGCCACATCCCACATAATGTTCTTCATTCATAACTTAGGCACTTAAACTTTCAAGATCTATGTGATACTGTCACTTCTGTTTCCCCTAACACATTTAAAAGTTTGCACACAGAGGGCACGTCTAGACTACATCCCTCTGTCGAAAGAGGGATGTAAATTAGGCAAATCGAAAGCGCAAATGAAGCGTGGAATTCAATATCCCGTGCTTCATTTGCATATTCGTATCCGATTGCTGTTCGAAAAAGGGTATTTTGAAAGAGGAGTATGGTTTCTTTCAAAAAAATTTTTTTTTTGGAACTGCGTCTAGACTGTGGTTTCACTTTTGAAATACCCTTTTTCGAACCAGCGATTGGACACAAATATTCAAATGCTCTAGTCAAATAACAGAGTTCTTCCTTGAGATCTATTTGTCTAAGGCAGCTGGAATTTAGAATATTAAATACAGTGACATACTCATGAAGAAGTTACAAACCAAGAATTATTTGCAGGAGGGTATTTGGAGAAGAAAAATGAATGGTGGATGCTTTTGAGAAAACTGATCTGCTCATAAAAATATTTACAGAAAGAGGCAAAATTAATTGAGCTATTCAGGTAATTGTAGTAACTGGCAAGGTTTTGATCTTATTTAGAGTAGAATAAGATCACTGATTCCCAAAATAATAGTAAAAGCTCTTTAAGAAAAAAATAAACATTAAGTTTAAGTGGAGCTTAGTCACCTTGCTGCTTTTTCTTTGAGGTTTTTATTTTAGGCTCCTAGTATTTTAAACTAGTACAGTTATCTAATGTGCACTGTGCTTGAGGCCATTCTCTGATCTCTCTCTCTCTCTCTCTCTCTCTCTCCTATATTTAACTATCCCGTTTGTGGCAGGTCACCTCTTTTACCTCAGAGCTTCAGTGTTTCATCCTTGCACAGTGGGAGACATGGAATAAATCAGTCTGACTCTGGAAGTTTTTTTTTTTCTACATTCTGGCTGTATTATTCCCTATTTACATGGTGGGCCACAGGGTTATCCCAAGAAACACAAAGCAAAACAAACAAACAAACAGCCAATGCAAACAGAAATACTTTCGCTGCCCCCTCTTTAGTGTGTTAATTGATTATATTGGCTCCTAGATGCCAGATCTTCCCTAAGTACTTGATAACCTTTGTGTACACTAGCAAGTTTTGTCATCAAAACACTGAGAGCAAATTGACTCTCTTGGGGGCAGGATGTGAGCAGAAGGGGTGGGGCTGGGTGTGGGCTGGGGGTTTCCCTACTCCAGCCCTATCTTCACCCACTGCCCATGCAGCCTTCCACCCTGGATCAACTTTTCCATCCTGCTGCCAATACCTCTACTGCAACTTGTCTCTCATCTCTCCTCTTCCTCCTCTCACCAGAAGAGGGATTTTGAAAGGTCACTGGGCAGCTCTTAACTGGCCTCAGGTGTCTCCAGTGGTCCGCCCGAGGATCCTTTTTCAGCTCATAGGCCACAGGGACTTCACCATTCTAGGGATGACACATCTGCCCTCCACAAGGCTTTTCTCTCTCTCGGGATGGATTTTGTCATACTTTGTTGCTATCCAGGAGCCCTGCAAACCACTACAGTGCAAAGAAAAAAGGTTTCATATCCATTATGAAAAACTCTGACTCAGAGATCTTTGGCCAAAAGCATCTTCCTTACTTAACTTACTTAACTGCTTTGATGTTATTTGAAGCAAAGGGGCAAGCTCTCCTCCTCCAAAGGAAAGTTATCTTTCTTCTTAAGCTTCCTCTCAGTGGACAGTCAGCGGTTTTCTACAGCCCCTGTGCTGTCCCAGTATCTGTTTATATGGAAGTAGAGGCCCCACATTTTTCTCAGGAAAGCAGATTAAGAAGCTTGTCATTCTAGTTGAAGTTAAAAGCTAAGGGGGAGGGGATATAAACAATACTTTACATTACCTGTCTTTCATTTACCTCAGTGAAAAGAGCAATATTTTACCAGCAATGTGCTGGGAACAAATATATTGTTAAATTGGTTTTCTACTCACTATTTGATTCACAACTACGGATCAGGAATATTATGGTTCATCTGCTACCTTTCATCAAATGACAATGCTATTAGGTGGGCTTGCACCCTTATATCCAAAAAGTTTATACTAAAAGGTTACTCAGGCCAGTAAAAAGTTAAATTCTAAGATTGGGACTCTTGGAACCTTTGGATCCTACTGATGAGAATGTCAAGCCTGAAAGCCTTCCTGATGGAGACAATGAATGATCAAGTATCAGAGAGGTAGCTGTGTTAGTCTGGATCTGCAAAAGCGACAGGGAGTCCTGTAGCACCTTATAGACTAACAGATGGATTGGAGCATAAGCTTTCTTGGGAAAGACCCACTTCGTCATGCATCTGACGAAGTGGGTTTTTGCCCACGTAAGTTTATGCTCCAATATATCTGTTAGTCTATAAGGTGCTATAGGACTCCGTGTTACAATGAATGATGTTACCCTGCCTGCGACCACGCATTCCTTGTTGCCCTGACGTGCTCTCTTCAGCTACATCTACACTGGCATGATTTTGCATAAGAACTCTTTTGCGGAAGAGTTCTTGTGCAAAACTCTTCCAGAAGAGAGCATCTACACTAGCATGTGCGTTTGTGCAAGAGATGTGCTTTTGCACAAGAGCATCCATGCCAGTGTAGACGCTCTCTTGCGCAAGAAAGCTCTGATGGCCATTTTAACCATAGGGCTTTCTTGCGCAATAAATTCATGTTGCCTGTCTACACTGGCCTCTTGCGCAAGAACAGTTGTGCAAAAGGGCTTATTCCTGAGCGGGAGCATCAGAGTTCTTGCACAAGAAGCCCTGATTTCATACATTAGAACGTCCGTGTACTTGCGCAAGAACTCGCGCCAATGTAGACATAGCCTTCCTGTGTACTGCCCTGAGAAAGGATGACTTCCAAAAGGAAGGCTTGGTCTCCTGTCTTTTGTCTATATTTATTTTGCTAGGTTGCTGTTAGTTTACTGTGGAGATGGTTATTAGTTCCTGTGGTTCGACACTTCCACAGGCTGTGGACAACAGCTGCAATTGCAACATAAATTCCACACCCATAGGGGACTGTGAGTAGAACTTCAGTGACTTGGTTCCAAAAACATGGGCCTCCTCCCTTGAGCTTAAGAATAACTCCTCTAGCTGAAGTTAGACTAAGTCACTTTATCATCTCTATGAACCAGCCACTACAGGGCAAAGTGCATAGATCACAGTGGTGACTGATATACTTGTTTCACTGTTTGCCTGCAGGTTTGTGAATAGATGCTTTTTCGAGTTTGAATTCTTGGGCACTTTGGCCATGTCTGCTTGCAAAGGAAAACAAGCCTCTAATGTGTGAGGGTTTTAGAACTGATTTTAGAACTTGTCTGAGGGGCTTTGAAAACACAGAAGTTATGAATGCTGATCCAGATTCCAAGCCGGGTGGGGCAAATCACCTAGTTAATAAGATCACCTGCATGTGTTTGCTTGCCTCTTGTATCGAACTTTTTTTTTGGTAGTTAAGAAAAGATTGGTTAAATATACCTCTGCCCAAGCCACCTCCTACATAAGGAAATGTAGCAGCTCACAATATCCTAGAGCACATACTGTCCTGTTTGGTAAATGTCCTTTATTTATCTAACTGTGCACATCCAAGAAAAGTCGAGGCCTTTATCTGCTGAAAGCAAAGTTAGGCTGTCATGGTTCCAAGTGGCAGCAACATTGAAAGCCATTTCCACTTCATTCACAAGACAGAAACACTAACCAGAACCAGTAGCACCTTTTCCATAACCATGATATGCTGCGGTGTGAGAGCACCATCTGAAACTTAAGACAGGGCAGTCAATACTGGTGAGGCAGGTGGATGAAATATGGGACGCAGACTCAGAACTGTGCTGAGAATGGTTACAGATTAGTAGGAAATCTACTATAGACACTCCTACCTTGAAGTCTGCCTTTGAAATACTTGTTAATTGATGATTTGTTGAATACATGATTTTTCTATTTCGCTATTCCTCTCAGTGCTACAGTGCATTTTGTGAGCACATCACTGTTTTAGATTTTCACCAATCAGCTAACAACAGAGGAGAGTGCCAGTTTCTTCATCACTGGGAAGAATCTAATGGGCACGTTAACTGCATGTACTCATTATGCTGGAAGGTGGTATTTTTATCCTTGAGGATCTGCAGTCTTACAAAGTCAGGTAATGCAGTTGGGTTCCACCTTTATCAACAAAAATCTCTGCATTGCAAATAATTATTCTGTTTCTAAAGAATTAACAGTGGTATGTTTCTCTAGTGACTTTTTTCCCCCTAAAAATTCCATTACATTTATTTCGTCATCAATTTTAGAGTGCACTTAGGAAACAAGGCTATCTACATTGAACACTGATCAGCTGTCTATTATTGGAAAGTATTTGGAGTATTAAGTTCTTCACCTATTAGAGGTAAGGACATAAACGTCTTATTTCATGTCTTGCAAGACCTTTTCACAATCATGCACACATGGAATATTTTCTCTCTCTTCACTGATAATATAAACAATTGAGATTCAGGTCAATGACTTGACTCTCTTACTTACCTCTGAACCACTGAATAATCATAATCCCAATCCTCAACTGGTGTAAATCAGTGTCACTCATTGAATCCAATGGAGTGATATTGTTTTATGATGGCTGAGGATCTAGACCAGTATGCTAAGATTAAACAGAAACATCTCACGGGATCATTTGTATGAGGTGGGCATTGCTAGACCTTAGTCCTTCCCCCCCACCTTCTATTTATAGGTTTCTAATTTTCACTACTTAATGAATATCACTTTTCATTACAATTATGTTAAAAGGTACCAGCATGATGATTCAGAAACCCTTGAAGATATAGTCATATTTTCAGCAACAGATGGATTTAACACTGCAGATGGAGTGTTAAGAGTGCAGGTAATAACGAATTCAGCAATGTACTGTACTGAAATATAATTGGAAAGTATTAATCACATATTGGTTACTTCAGCTTCACTAAGTAGATTTTTAATTTTCATCAATCTTTTCACCACATTCCCGGAAAGGTTTCTACTTAGGCTGAGCCTGACTCCTGGGTGAAATGTCTATAAAACAACTCCAGAGTTATTAATGATCAAGACCTTAACCTTTCAAAAACATTTGCAATAGCTTAACTATACACACACTGAGTAGATCCAGTTATGTTAATAAGACTGTTCACAGTGTGTGTAGTTAAGCATGTGCTTAAGTCTTTGCAGGATCAGGAGCTACAGACCAGAACTGTGAAAGACACTTTGGATACATCTACACTGCAGGCTTTTTGCGCAAGAACACCTGTTCTTGCACAAAAACTTGCGGAGTGTCTACATTGTACACATGTTCTTGCGCAAGTAAATTTACAGTAAAGCGTCAGAACAGAGGGCTTCTTGTGGAAGAGTTATTCCTCAACCCATGAGGAATAAGCCCTCTTTTGCAAGAGCTCGTGTGCAAGAAGGCAGTGTGGATGGGGTTTCTTGCGCAAGAAACCCCTATGGCTAAAATGGCCATCAGAGCTTTCTTGCGCAAGAGAACATCCACACTGCCATGGACGCTCTTGCGCAAAAGCACAGCTCTTGTGCAAATCCACATGGCAGTGTGGATGCGCTCTTGCACAAGACCTTTTGGGCAAAAAGCCCGTAGTATAGATGTAGCCTTTGGTTTTCTCTCTTCCTGGTTGCTATTTTCTGCTGCTATTGAACCTTCTCAAACACTGTGTAGTAGACACTGCTACCTCTTTAAAACCTAGCAGATAGTGAGGACACAAAATTGACGTGAGTAGGTGATACCCCATGGTCTGGAGCATGGGCTGATTCAAAAGAGAGGATTCATGGTGGTTAAATTCTCCTGGCTGGAAGCCACTCAGAGTGATCATTTACATATATACCGATGATATTCGATTTTGATTTTCACAATTTACTTGTTTCTTATTAAGTGCTACTGCTTTAATTTGTTTACTAAAAGCCATCGCAACCATGGATTACTGGATTGTTTCCTGTTTCTATTTTTTTATTGTAAGCTTTCTTACCCAGAAGTCCATAACTCTGTGACTAATCTGGAGCCCGTTGTCAAAGATGATTTGGCTCTTTGCAGTGGGGTAGATTGTATTTTGATTAGTTTCAGACTCCTGTCTTGGATTGTTCTCCCTTATTCATTTTAACTTCAGTGCATTTTCGTGTATAGACACACAATATCACAACAATGCACGTATCTCATAGCTGTCCGAAATAATTAATAACCAGCTAATGTGACAGTTTGTTTCTACCCAGAGCATTTGCTGAGCCCTAGATCTGCCCGGAAACACTTGCAGGGAGTTGCCTAGCCACTACAAAAACAAGGAGCAGTCCTGTAGCACCTTAGAGACTAACAAATATGTAATGTCATGAGCTTTCATGGGTAAAACCCATTTCGTCAGTGGGGTTTTATCAATGAAAGCTCATGGACCTATATATTTCTTACTCTAGGGTAGCACAGGACTGCTCCTTGTTTTTAAACTTACAGACTAACATGGCTGCTCCTCTGAGACTTTTACTAGTGTAGCAGGTTCACTCACTTTCTGCTTGGCTTCTTCCCTCAGTGTGGCTTTGGGGAAGTAGCTGGCCACTCCGACGCTGACGCGCCCCCTTTGAGTGAGGCGTTCTCTTCAGGGCACTGCCGTCCGGCAGTAACCACTCCGATCTTGGTCTGCACCTCCTTCCGTGGGGGAATCATTGTTCTTCCTTCAGTCCAGAGTCCTCCCTACTCCCTAGGACCCCCAGTTCTTCTTCCCAGGAACATCCAGCTCCCTCCAGGAACACACAGTTCCTCAGCACCCTCCAGGCCTCAGTGGCCCACTGCCAGTCCCTCTCTAGTCCTGTCTCAGGATGGACTGCAGTCTCTCCCGGCCATTTCTCCCTGGCCAAAGATGCGCCTCTGCCTGCCCAGTTGCCTCCTGCAACCCTGCCTTGTGGTCTTATGGCCTGGGGCTTCCCTGGCTCAAACTCCCCCAGCCTACCGCAGCCTGGCCTTTTAGGGCTGCCTCCATGAGTGCCTCCTTTCAGCCCTGGGCCTCAGGCTGGGTAGCCTAGGTTTGTTAGGCTGAAGCCTCTCTCATGGCAGGCAGGTCTGGTCTCTCCTCCTCCCAGGAGCTGCTCTTATAGTCTCCAGCTAGGCCCTCCTTATTTGCCTCAGCTGGGCTTCCTCCGACACCAGGTCTCAGCCCCTTAAAAGGCCAGTGCAGGGCAACGCCCTGCCACACTAGGCACTACAGGATGCGTTAAGGGCAGAGTAGCTGTCTGAATTTTAATTGCCCCTGTCTTTGCTGTTTTGAGTCAAACCAATATTTTTAATGTCAAATTTTCAGTGCAATTCTCTTCTGCGCCTTTTTGGATTTTACTTTGAAACTGAGTTTTTATGTACTAACAGGTATTAAAAGTCATCTCTCCCACCCCTTCTCTTGTGCAGCTTTGGCTGCAGTAAAGAACATAAAAAACCTCCTGTCTTTTAAAATGCTTTAACTACAGTGGGAAAAAATTCTTGTTTCTCACTTTGCTTTGGTGTCCAAATACATTATCGTTCAATTCCTCCTGCACAGCAGCAAGGATGCTACTGCTGTACAGATTTCAAGCCTAGCTGATTATTGTTCATGTCATCAGCCTGAAGAAGAGCACTACTTCAATACATTAATCTTTCTTTCAAGTTCAAAACCACTTGCTTTTTTCCTCCCCTCCTCCCTCACCCTGTGATTGTAGCAGCCTTGCGATAGGCGACTGCATTCTCTTATGTCCTGCTCTTTTCCCAAGAGCACGGCTATTCATCCTTTGGGTAGAAAGGGCACTCGAAATATTGCCAATTGCTCACTAGCATTCTGTATGTTCATCCTGGTGTGTATTGTTTTTTCAGTAGATGCCTCCTAGTGATTGTTAAATAATATATCTCCACTTTGAGATCGGCTGCAGCAACCCTTTAGGGAAGTAAGGGTATTTTATGTTCTCTTGAATTTTCTGACACTGTATTCTATGCGATTTCTTAGTTGGTTTTTTTTTTAACCTCTTTTCATTTTTTAAGGATGCAGAAATATTGGCCAGTCTGAAATGAAAAACTAACTTGTTAGCTGAGAAGGGCTACTCTAGGGAAATGAATCCTGCTTGTATACAGATGTTTTAGGAGAGTATGACACATACTATATGTAGAACAGTAGTATATATAGTATGGTACATTTTTTAAAGATGGACTAGAATGATGTTCTGCTTATAATGCTATTTATGGGTTGTACTTGTTGCCTGTTGTACTAAACAGAAGACTTTTATTATAAAATGCATTTGTGCACTGCACAATTGTTAAATGATCACATTACTTCCCCATATCCCACAGCTGGATCATATTGTGTAGGGCTGGTCAAAAATTTCCAGTTGAAACTAATTTTCAATTTAAAATTAGGCTTTTAACCAAATTATATTTTTAGTTAAAAATATGCGTTCTGTAGAAAATTTAGATTTTTGTTTTTGGTCAAAGCACTGAACTACTTCAATGCTTGAATAACATTTTTCAGTATTTGAATTTCTGTCCAAACTTTTAACTTTTCTGTGGAAAATTTAGATGAAAAATGTTTGGCAGCATCTGTCAATCTTGTGATGTGACAAGGTGAGAACACATTTTTCTGACCTGCCATAGGACTTGATATACTTCAGACATTTCTGATTCCATTTGGTTGTTGTGGCTTAAGACCGTGACTGAGAATCCAGAGATGTGAGCTATGTTCCTGGCTTTGTCACAGAGTTCTTGTATAACCTTAAACCTAAAATTTTGAAGTGTCTGCTAATTTAGGGTGTATCTATTTTTGGGTGGTGAACGTTCAATTGGATACTTATAGGCCCTGACTTTGAGAGAAGGTGAGCATCTACAACTTCACTTTATGTGGGTTCTCAGCATCTCCTGAAAGTCAGGCCAAAAGTTAGCTGATGATTGTGAAAGCTTAGCCCTCAAACTCTTTGGCTTTGGTTTTCCAGCTCTAAAATAGAAATGATAATACAGGACTACTTTGCCTGACAGGCTTGTAGTGATGTTGAATTCTTTAAAATATGCAAAGAGCTTAGAGCTCTTCACAGTAAAGACTCTATAAAAGGAATAATCTTTTGCACTATTTTGTGTGTTAGCTAAGTATTAACTTCCCAGTAATATAACTTACAGGTTTGCTATGTAGGAAAGTATTAAATGGTACCACATAGTGGTCTGTCTTTTAAATTCAGTGACTGTTGTGAGACTGGATTTTATTTGATAGCTACATCTAAAATGTTTCCAAGCACACACAAGTTCCTTTGGTTTTGGACCAAAGTTCTCAGCCTTTGAAGATATTTGATTGTTTGTGTGTGTTTTTTCAAGGAAAGATCAGATGACCTTCTCTACTTTTTTTTTATTTTAACGCTCTCCTATGAGTGTAATTTCAGTAATCTTTTGCTGTTTCTTTCTAGGAGGTGAAATAGGACATAACACTTGTATGGATACCTTGACCCTCAGAATCTCAGATGGAGAGGCTGGTAAAGTGGATAGTTGTTTTGCTAAACCTCTCTCTCCACTTCACACCACTTCCTAGTCTAGGATCTGAACATCCCAGTTCTCTCCATCAACAACCAACATCCCACAATTCATCTGGGTATGTTTCCTAAAACCATTCCCCATTTCAGTGAATTAAGCCTGGACTACCATAATCTCTTTTTCCTTCCAGATTAGTATTCAGAAAGCAGATTTCCCCCCTCCCACCACTGAGTCTGGTTTGGAGTGTCTTTCTGTGTGCCAGGTTGTATCATTTTTCATGACGCAGGGTGGAGGGCAGTGATGTCATAAACCTCTGTGCACAGGACCCAATAGATACGGAACGCTTCTGTTCAAAGATCAGTCATGCTGTCAAAACCATTTGACTAATCAGGACATGGAGCTATCAGCTGCTTTGCAGACAATGCAGTATTTGCTTTTTTGGTTTGCCTCCATACATTGCTTTAAGATTTGGAACCTTCACAATTAGGATCTGAAGTATCGACGGCATCTAATCCAATTTCTCCTATTTGCTTTGCCAATGCAAGTTACAGTGACAGTTCAGAGAAAATACTTAATTTAGCTAAGTGTTTCCAGTTCACTTCTCAAAATATTAAACATTCTGAAACCATCAAAGCTGACGCATCACAGGCATGAGATGTAAATAACTTTAACCTGCTTTTTCAAGTTAATTAAAATAGCCCGGATATTTAAGGTGACCATTTCCCCCTATGCTTAATACAGAAAGCTTGGTAAAATTATTCATATTCAAGAGAGTTCAATGGCAATCAATCACACACACATTTAGATGATCATCAGGTCAACTGAGACTCTGTTAAAAAGAAACATTGTGGTGTTGGAATCTTTATATTTATCTTCTTATGCTTAAGGGAAAGGGAAGGGTGACAGACAAACACACACACCCATGTCTCTTTTGCATTGTGGGGTGACCGACTGACCCAACCCTTCCTGTCCAACACTCTCTGAACTCCATACCTGGCTGGGTCCCCAGAACTGACCCACTTCTCCTGGTCCCTGGCACAGTGTCTTCCTGGTGCAATATGTGTGGGGAATGCAGGATCACGTGCTTCCCTCTCCAGATTTCTTCCAGGATTCTGTAGGTAAAAATTTCTGATGCAGGCCATGATATTTTGTTAAAAACCCTTTTCTAGATTTGGAGTCTGGGATTGGCACACAAACACAGTCCATGATGGTTCCTCCTCCTCCCCCGCACGAGCGCACGTAGCCCATCAAAGAAAGATAATCATAGAGCAAACAACCCAGGATTGGAGACAGGATATGACACATTCAATGGTGCTAGGAACAAATGCGCAATTATCAAGTACTCCTAATGTCTCTGCTTTAATCCGCAGATGGACCACATTGGAGCAGAGATACCTTCCTGAAGATGAGACACATCGCCACTTAACACATAATTGATAATTGATGTCTGCTTGTTTAAATACTTGTTTTACTAGAAACACTATGTAACTTTATATTATTGCTCTTATTTTGCCAGGGGGTCCAGGATTTCCCCCCTCCTCCCCATCACTTGATCTGCCCATTGAGCATCCTATATAATTAGTTGTAACCTATTGTTTGGCAGTGTTCACTGAGCATAACAAGTGATGTGACACTCCGCCAGTATTGTGTGTTAATAAATCCTTCTGCTTGCTTCATATACAGTGTCCAGATTCTGTTCCTACAGTTCACATCTGACTATGGCTAGCAGCAGCCTTTCTACAATGTGAAGGAAAGAGACAGGAGATGCTTCCAGCTGCAGGAAAGGAGGAAGGGATGATCTGGCAGAGTTCATCTCTTTCCTCCCACCACTGGTCCCATGTGGTGGGAAGCAGCTTGTTCCTTCCTGCTCTCACAGGGTCAAAAGGCAGCTAACACCTCTAGGTTGCTGTTGACCTCCAACGTAACCTAGCCACCTCCTGTCCCCTGGCTACAGTGAGGGAAGGAAGGGGTTAAGCCCTGAGGATGCATTGTGCACCAAGGCTGAGGGAGCCTGACTGCAGGGGCCTAAACAAAACAAGTCACAGAAGTGGCTCAGAAGAGGAGGGCGCTTAGGGAATAGAGCAGCTCTGTGTTCTTTGGGAGCACGAGACTGAGGGTGGAGGTGGGGTGGGGTGGGGATGGGTGAAGAGGGTGCTAAGCCTCTGCCCCAAGAGCTGTTTTGGAACCTGCAGGTTCAGGGTGTGAATAGGATGGAAATTACTCCTCCCCCTTATACAGCCTGCAGGAGCTTAGCTGAGGGGCAGAGAGGCTTCCTCATGCCAGTGCTTTGCAGGGCTCTAGCACGTGCAGGGCACAACTCTTCCTGGCCAGCATCCCAGGCCGGAGGCTCTTGGGCTTTCCTGGGATGCTGGCCCAGCTAGAGACATGGGGGGAAGGAAGGAGTCTGCTGGCCAGGCTATGGGTGAGCTCGGTGCTCTGATCGGGGCTGGCTCTCTATGCAGTGCTGGGAGTGGAACATGAGGAGAATATGGAGGAGCAGCAGGCTGGGGGGACCAAGGGGTAAATCGGGCAGAGGACAGCGAGATGGGAAGCATGTTAAGGGCAGATGGGTGAGCAGCAGAAATGACACACAATTAGCACCTGTTCATACTCACAACCACTGCAGCCAGTGCCAGCTAGAAATAGGAGTGGGAGGGGGACCCTGCTGTCTAAGAGCCAGATTGCTCTGATGGACCAGCAGGGGGAGCAGTCAGCCCCGCGCATCTTTGCCTTCTTCCAGTCTTGTATACCCACCCCTATCATTGGCCACTGGACCCGACCCACTTATCACTGGTGGGAGAGAGCAACTGGTGAGCCGGGATCCAGCCACTAGCAGGACTGGCCAGTACTGATGAAGGAGGGAGACAGAAAATATGTGACCATTTTTTTAAAAGTAAAAGTCAAAACACCTGCAGGAGGGCTTAAATACAGGTCTTCCCCCTTAAAAAAGTGGGACACCTGGTCCTCCTACAGATATCACTGACTTTAGGCAACATTTTTGCTGAAGGCAATGGAATTTGCCTGAGCAGGGGCTTTAGGTTCAGGCTCAATGTTTATCATTTGCCCTACTTTTTAACAGTGGCTTTTCAGTGGGATGATGAAATAGTATTTCAGCTCTCAAGTGAAGTACAGAATGCTAAGGGCTAAATTGTGGACACATTGACTTGTGGTCTCTTCTCATGGCACTGCTCAGTTGGCATAAAAGGGTTGAATTCTGACTGTGGCTGGGCAGAGGAGAATTCCTGTTTGCGGGGAGGAACTCTCCACTGGTATGAATCTGGCTCCGGTGCCAATTACTGCCCCAGTTAGGCAGAAGTGTGGTGCTCTGTGATGCTAGCGGGTAATTTAGAGCCATCTCAAGGCTTCTCTACTAGATGCCAGGGCTAGATGGTACAGAATTAGGACTCAGTAATAACTTCCCCGAGAGGAGCCAACCCACTATTCTGAGCAGAAGTTGAATTTATGAGAGAACTATGTCCAGTGACTTCAAGTTGCTGTGCAGTGGTAGAAAATGTAGAGATGGTAATTTGCAGTTGCAGTGCCTGGTCAGGTACTAGGGGGACCTGGAGGAGACTATACAGTGGCAACCACTTTTAAAACCTTTCCATAACTTGCAACAGGTGCTTGCCCTGTCTGTCGTCATTCCCAATGGGTTTCTAGCATGGCTGACAGCATCAGGTACCTCACTATGCACAGGGACCTCCCTGATAGATACTGTAACTATCCTCTGGACAGTCCCAATCACATCATGTAATGGCACATACCCGAATAGTGGCAAGATTTTAAACTACTTCTATACAAACGTTAAGGCCTAAATAATAAGAGGGGTGAACTAGAGTGGCTTGTACTGAATGAGGATACTGATATAATAGGCATCACAAGAAACTTGGTGGAATGAGGATGCTCAATGGGACGCAGTAATATCCGGGTACAAAATATACTGGAATGACAGAACAGTTGTGATGCTGGGGGAGTGGCATTATATGTGAAAGAAAGTGAAAAATCAAATGAAGTAACAATCTTTAAATGAGCCAAACTGTTCTATAAAAACTCTATGGATACAGGCTGAACCTCTCTGGTTCAGGACTTCGTGGTTTAATGGGACCACGAATGTTGCTGGTCCAGGGAGCTCCTGAAACAGATAGCATGAAAAGCTTGCCAGTGGCTGGGAGTGGAGATGGTCTGGCAGGAAGCAGCCTGCAGAGCCCCTGGCCAGCCGTTGGGGCCAGTGGCTGGGAGCAGAGGCCTGCCAGCACACCAGGGGCAGTGAAGCCCGACAGGTGGGCCAGGGCAGCACATTGGAAAGGGCTGGTGGCCAGAAGGAGAGCTCCGGGAGAACCTGGAGGTCTGCTCTCCCTTGGTGTGGCAAATTTCCTTGTTCGAGACTGCTCAGGTCCTAAGGGTTCCGGTCCAGGGAGGTCCAACCTGTAATAATTCTATGATTTAATAATGATAATATAGCAGTAGGGATATATTACCGACCACTTGACCAAGATGGTGATAGTGACTATGAAATGCTAAGGGGGAGATTAGAGAGGCTATAAAAATAAACTGAATAATAATGGAGGATTTCAACTGTCCTCATATTGACTAGGTACATGTCACCTCAGGATGGAATGGAGAAAGAAAGTTTCTTGACACTTCTTGGAGCATCTGGTTCTTGAACTCCCTAGAGGAGAGGCAATTCTTGACACAAGAGGTGAATATAGCTGGATGTCTTGGAAATAGTGATCACAGTATAAACAAACTTAACATCCCTATGGTAGGAAAAATACCACAGCATCTCTACACCATGACATTTAATTTCAGAAAGGGAATTACACAAAATTGAAGAGATTAGTTAAACAGAAATTAAAAGACACAATGCCAAAACTAAAATCCCTAAAAGCTTCATGGACTTTTCAAAGACACTACAACAGAGGCTCAACTTAAATATTTACTGCCAAATTAAAAAAAACATATAACAGAACCAAAAAAGTGCCACGGTGGCTTAACAACCAAATAAAAGGAGCAGTGAGATAAAAATGCATAATTTAAAAAGTGGAAACTAAATCCTAGTGAGGAAAATAGAAAGGGACATAAACTCTGGCAAATGAAGTATAAAAATATAACTAGGAAGGCCAAACAAAGAGTTGTAAGAATACCCAGCCAAAAACTCAAAGTAATAGCAATTTTTTAAAGTACATCAGAAGCAGGAAGCCTGCTAAACAACCAGTGGGGCAACTGGACTATTGAGATGCTAAAGGAGCACTCAGGGACGATGAGGTCATTGCAGAGAAAATAAATTAATTCTTTGCATTGGTCTTCACAGCTGAGGCTATGAGGGAGATTCCTAAACCTGAGCCATTCTTTTTAGGTGACAAATCTGAGAAACTGTCCCAGAATGAGGTGCCATTGGAGGAGGTTTTAGAAAAAATTGATAACCTAAGCCATAGTAAGTCATTAAGACCAGATGGCATTCGCTCAAGAATTCTGGAAGAACTCAAATGTGAAATTGAAGAACTACTAACCATAGTCTCTAACTTGTTATTTAAATCAGCCTCTGTAGCAAATTACTGGATGATAGCTAATGTGATGCCAATTTGTTTTAAAGAGCTCTAGAGGTGATCCTAGCAATTACAGGCTGGTAAGTCTAATTTTATTACCAGGCAAATTGGTTGAAACTCTAATAAAGTTTCAAATGCATAAATGAACATAATTTGTTGGGGAAGAGTCAACATGGTTTTTATAAAAGGAAACCATGCCTCACCAAATCTACTAGAATTCTTTGAGGGTGTCAACAAGCATGTGGCCAGGGAGGATCCAGTGGATATAGCGTACTTCAGATTTCAAGAAAGCCTTCAACAAGGTCCCTCATCAAAGGCTCTTAAACAAAGTAAGCTGTCATGGGATAAGAGGGAGGGTCCTCTCAGGGATTGATAACTGTTTAAAAGTTATGAAAGCATAGAAATAAACGGTCAGTTTTTAGAATGGAGAGAGATAACTGGTGGTATCCCCCAGGAGTCCATACCGGTACCAATCCTATTCAAAATACTAATAAATGATATGGAGAAAGGGGTAAGCAGTGGGGTGACAAAATTTTCAGATGACACAAAACTGCTCAAGATACAGGCAACCCCCACACTTATGATCGAATTGGTTCCTGGAGAACTGTCGGGTCATCGTAAGTTGAACCCTTATTTTCCATAGGCGCAATGTTATAAATGGGGGTTCTGTTCCTGACTCGCTTTGCCTCCTGGGAGTTGTAGTCCCCAGCGTGCCAGGCTTGAGAGGCCATGGTGGGCCAGAGCAGGGTAGTTGCTAGTGACAGGCCACACAAATGTTGCAGGCCCGCAGCAGCGCTGATCAGGGCTCGGGGCAAGGCCCTGGCCTGGCAGGGCACCAGTTCAAATGCTGTCCACTCTGCCTCCTGGGAGTTGTAGTCCTCAGCGTGTGCAGGGCGCCAGTTCAAACGCCGTCTTCTTTGCCTCCTGGGAGTTGTAGTACCCAGCATGCCGGACTTAAGAGGCCAAGTCTCAAGTCCGGTGGGCTGGAGCAGGGCGGTCATAAATGCAGGGAGTCATAAGTCGGGGGTCACCTGTAGTTAAATCCAAGCAGACTATGAAGAGCTTCAAAAGGATCTCTCAGAACTAGGTGATTGGGCAACAAAATGTCAGATGAAATTCAATGTTGATACAT